CTCAAACTTTGAAAGTGTATTTTCTGTGAATAACTTAGAGGCGCTCGGATCTAAGACAAACTTCATGTATTCAGCAGATTAACTTATATTTCTGATTACGTTTATTGATTTCGATTGAATGTGAATACATATAATCAAAATGAGAGTTGTTCCTCGTAATTTGAAAGCCTAGATGTGCCAAATTCGATTCACAGTTGCAAGGTCAAGTACTCATTTAAGGACATGACCCTAGAACTGAAAATGAGCATAAAATATATTTTCAGTGAAGAATCGCTGTTGGTGTTGGGAACAAAAAATGGATGACTTGCGAAGCTTTTTTTTTTTTTTACAGTGGACACCAATCTACAAAACCTTGGATTAAAACTAAAATCCCTTGTTATTTAATTCAGATACTTTCTTCGATTTATGGCCGCCCATTTTACCGATAGATTTTTTATATTTTTGTGCCGTGATTTTAAATATGTATCAGAACCAAGTGAAGAAATGAATCATCTGTAAAACTATTCATGTGCATTGAAAGTGCCTCCTTCAATAAATTTGCTTGCCCAAAAAATGTCTGATTGCTGATGCATTTATTTTCTATTCTTTCGATACATTCTCCGGCACTTTTTCTTCGGTCTTGAGTTTAAAAGTGTAAGAAATTAATAAAAAGGTAACAATTAGAGATGTTTAATTTGAGGTATTCAAAGTAATTTGTCTCAACTCATAAAAAAAAACATTAGCAGCATTTTAGGTCCCTGATGCCCAACAGCCACGATGTTGGGCGAGTTACTTCATCAAAAATGTTCTCGTCCCCATGACTTCATTGTATCCACATTTTTAGTATAATTGAAAAATTAACCTCAAACTATATGAAATACGTTCTTTGAAAATCAAACTGAACTGGATATGCAATTTGACGAATTTTCCGCATCTTTAAATTATAAGGTTGAGTAATTGGGAGTGGGACTGGAACGGGTCGCAGTGAAGTGAGTCACTGCTCGTCGACAGGCAGCTGATGATGATCGAACTCATACCCCACAGGCCTTCATCTTTTGGCCATATGGAAGCCCTCGCTTGGAAGGCTTTCTCATCTCGCTTTATATAACCTTCATTCATTCAATCGGGTTCCTTGCTCACTCAACTGAGATTTCCCCAGCAGCAGCAGTAGCAGCAGCATGGAACAGCCTACATCATCAAGCTCTCAGAATTCTGATGATCGTCGGCAACCGAATAATATGTGAGAAGTGCAGGCATGACTTCCTTATTCCACTTCATCAACAAAAAAAGCAATATCCCTTAACTTGTGTCAGCAAATTGAAAACACATTCATCCATCTAGGAATTTTGCATTTACCCTCGAACACACTACGAATTTGAAAAAAATAATAAATACATATGGACTCCATCTAAAATGGATTTCTCTGCATGGCGATTTTTTTATTCAGTCCCTATTCATAGGGTTCTCTCCCCGTATTATACTAGCTCTTTACAACGAATTTCTCTCTATACAAATAATTGTAACCGGTCCCTTGAGTTTTGTTGTCAAGAGAGTCCACCTGTACATACATGTGGCGGAAATTATCAGAAAAATTCCTTTGACGATTTGAGGGAAGCAAATTTTATCAGCAGACAATCTCGGGTTGTTTTACCAGTGAGCTGATCCAGTTTATTTTGAGACACAGAAAAGGAAAGGAGTCTTGTTTTAGTGCATGGTTTGCTCACCCATGGATGCCAAGAAAACCAGTCACAAAACCAGCGGGGACCTAGTTTTGTGACTGGTTTTCTTGGAATCACAAGGTTTTAATTTTCCTATGATTGTTGGTGTTTGAGTATAAAAAGGGTGACTTTTTTGTGGAAAAACACCAGAACATTTTTAGCTGTGAAATCTGAAGATTCCCCACCATCTTGTGGATTTTTGGGAAATGAAACTGTTGATAGTGGAGTACTTGCCTAAATTCTTCCTCAAATGTTGGTTTTGCTTGAAGCCGAATGTCAACTTTCTGTCTAAATAAGTGCCGCGTGAAAAATTTAACTAAACATACATTTCATTGATTTGAGAAAAACAAAAACATGATTGTACAATGCAGATAGGAAACCAATTCAACCATAATCCGTTGCTGGATGAGGGTTGAATTGAAATTACAAATCAATGTCAAATGATATGCTTTCTAAATTGTATTTGAAATTTTTGCCCATCTCCGTGGGTCAAATTGCGGGACCTAGATCAAATTGCAAGTAAACCTCCCAGCAAATTCAACTGTCAAATTGCGGGATGGTTGAATTGCGGGACGTAAAATCAAGGGTTACCAATGTATTACACACAGATGATCAGAGATAGAAACAATTTCAGCCAGAAAAAAATGAGAGCAGAAAAAATGAATTTCAATGTAGTTGAGTAAACTTGGGCCCGAGAATTTAAAGTGATTCCTCAACACAAATTATTTATTCCTGAAGATGCATGAAATTACCGAGAATCGCATTCCTGTAGTGAAGTAAAATTGCAGTTGAATTAATCGTTTTTATTTCATTTCTGCCTCCCGAAATATATCGGAAATATACTTTAAAATTTCGAATCATGCATAATCTTTTGCTTTTCATGCTTCGAATTACGTCCAAGTAAATAGTGACCGAAGTTGATGTTTGCAGAAGAAGATGCACTTGGAAAGCTGGTATAATTGCTGCCTATATAGGGAAGTTGGCGTTTGCACTACCCTAAACTTTCTCTCTTAATCAACTCCCAAGAATTCTCATCATCACTTGAAACATTTACTTATTCCCACACTTCATAAAAAGCATTTACACTAATAAAACACTTTAAAAAATATTTATAACTTTTCCGAAATATCCGAATATAGTTGCTTAAATTTCTTAGAAGGTACTCGTGCGTCCAAGAATTCTTGAAGAATTCTCATTATCACGCAAAATATAAACTTTCATCCCCACACTTCATAAAAAAACCTTCACAGCTACAAAAAAAATAAGTAAAAAAGGATACGTAAATTTTCCTATTAGGTATCGAATATATATAGATGCTTGATTTTTTTTTTCAAAGACACCAGCGTATTTAAACAAAGTTCCCGCACGAGTTTTCACATCATTTCTCTGATGTACAGTGATTGAAATTTTTAAAATATCTTGAATTAATTTATGATGAAAAGCTGCGAAAAATGTCATCAAATTTTAGAGCTGTAAAGCATATACGGTACAGAAACTTGGAATGTTCGGATATGACAGGCTGAAGTGAAGCCCATGCACAGGGGTGCAGAAAAGTTTACTTTCAATCCTGATATCATATGCATCATTACATGGAAGTTTGTGTTATCTAAGGCCTTCGTCGTCCATTTCAAGGCACACTGGCTCATTTTAAATGCACGTTAAATCCTCGAGGCCATTTTATTTTTGCACGCTTCCAAATATTCCTGATGCGAAGTCACACTTTTAAATTTATTTTTAAAGACAGCAACAGCCTCGATAAAAAAAAAATATACTGTATATGCATGTATATTCGTTGAGAAAATAATTGCTGAAAAATTTTCCAGGAAATTCTAAAAATTCGAGAAAAATTTTCAGGTTTCAATAAACAGTTCCGTGTGTTTTCTGTACTTGAAATAAGTTTTCTTTTCAGGAGGTTTAACAATTTTCTGTGTTGCTGGTTCAATACGCAGAAAGTGCTCATCAGCAGGGTTTTGTGGAGTAAAAATTTATCTAATTTTCCGCTCTTTCCTCCTAATGCCTGTGGCAAAGTCGTTCTTGTGTTGATTATTTTGACCTTTTCAAGGCCAAACAATATCTTTTACGCATGCATTTCATCGTTCGGTCAAAAGAAGACTGGAGAAAGGTCATATGTGATGAAAAATTCAGCGAAGGCTCCCCAAGACGAATACATTTGAATTCCTGAGCATTAAGTATCAATTTTCACATGAACTCGCGAAAGCAGCGAAACATTGAAGGACTTCGATTTTTTCCGAACAAGCTTTGATACAATTATAAGATCTTGACTGAGAACTTTATTTATTTTTATAAAAAAAAAATTACTTCAATGAACTGTGAGGCATCAACCGGGGTCTAAAATTCCCTGATAAAAGCCAAGGGCATAAATTTCCACGGAATCTCTTGATTGCTTTTTCGCAAAAACAGTTTCGCAACGACGCTGATTCGATTGAAATTTTTTCGGATGAATAAATTGTCTCTCCGATTTGGCAAAGCATTTTGTGACGATCATTCGTTGGGAGGTTGGGCTTCAGGCGAAGACATTTAATTGAATGAGCAGCATGTATATTCGAATCTTGTTGCAAAAATCCTCGTCGCGCGGATTCCCACAAAGACATTTTCAAAAATTGTTTCAAGGTCAGTGCAGATTTGAGACGCACGAAATCCCTTGAGGTTTCATTGGAAAACATTATGTTCTGTCGGCAAGAAGAAAAAGCGCATGTTCGACCGTTAAACGGGCGTAATTTAGCAAGTTATCAATACAACATTATTTACAATATCCAGTTTTCCAAAATGGACAAATATGATTCTTAAACGTTTCTAGTTCCTGGATTATGTCAGGGTTTTTGGTAATATCTCAAAAACGACATTTTTCATGCGTTCAGTGCAGAAATGGTACATATTTGACAGCATACTTTGAGTTTTGAATCCGGAGTGAAATTAAACGAACGAAAATTTGACTGAGTGAAATTCATCATCCGGAAGTTGGATTTAAGATAAAATTCCGATGCCATGAAAAAATAAAAAAAATAGTTCTTGCATGTCATATATCTTTTCGTGGTTTCTTCCAACGAATTTTTTTTTTGTGGTTTGCAGTCAGTCCAGAAACTGTGCATTTTTTTGACAGCCAATTTTGAGTTTAGAATCCCGAGTGAAATTAATTGCAAATTTGACTGAGTGAAATGCATCATCGGGGAGTCGGATTCATACGATTAAATCTCGATGCCATAACAGACAAGTATATACAGTACAGTACTTATTTGCACATATTGCAATTTTAAAATGAGGAGTTTCATTTATTTTTCTCACCAAGAGCCAACGGTTCGTAGAACTGCGCCTCGTCTCGAGAATCGCAGCCATGTTTGCGTCTGCTGGGTTCTGGATCGCCGCCATCTTCCCTGTCGTCACTAATCGTCAGGCCCGTCGCGCGGAAATTGACCCCAGGTCCCTGGGAGTGTGGGTCACTAATTTTCGGGCCCGTCTGGCCCAGATTGATTTCCCTGATCGCCCTGGGCTCAAGACAAGCCGGGGTCACTAAGCAGAACCAAACTGCGCCGGCTATTGTCGGCATATTTGCCATGATCTTCTCACTGCATCACAAATGAGCATTTCAGAAAAGATTTATTTCATGAATTGAATAAATTCCTCCGAATGCAAGTCATTCGAAAATGTTTGGAAAGGAATTTCCCATGCGATTGCATTTTCGAAAGAACCCTTGTTTAAGATCACTTCTCACTGATCACACGCACATTCACATGGTATAAATTCGAAAATTTGTTCCATGCATTGAATAAATCGCTCAAATGCATGATGGCATTCGAATTAATTCCAGATGGATTCCCCATCCGATTGTATTTTCAAAAGAACCCCAGTTTTTTAAACCCTTCTCACTGATCAAAGACACATGAAACGTTCGAAAAGTTATTTCATGCTTTGAATCTATACCTGAAATGAGAGACAGTCGAAAAAACAATTGGAGATGACATCCCCCCATTCGATTGTACAGTTTTTTCGAGAGAGCCTTAGTTAATGACCACATCTCAGTTCTCTATACGATCAAACACATATGGTGTCACGTACTGAAGCAACGCAGCTCTGGATCCGCAACCGGACGAGAAAACTGGTTGGATCTTGAGGCCAGTGAGCCTTGCAAAAATCCCGTTTTTGCGAGACTCACTGAGCCTTACTCAAGGACAAGAAGTGGTCATCACTTCTTTGATTTAATTGAAATTGGACAATCCTGAGCCAGAAAGAAATCACCTGATTTCTTCCTGACCCAGTCCAAGCACCTGGCTATAAAATCCTTCATTCCTCTTTGAGAGAAAAAGTCAGAACCTAGTGTTTAAAGGGTCTTTTAACTTTAATTACCTCATTCATTTTTTCTGAGCTAACCATTGACTCTGCCATTACAACCATTGAATTAACAGCCAATTGATGAGAATTGGGCAATGAGAATGAACTCCTCTGAAAAGAGTTTGAGTTCTTATTCAAAACTTGCATTCTGATGGCTGCACGATTCAATTCCTTTGTCTGGGATCCAATGCACCCATGACATATGGTACATTCAAAAAAGTAATTCATGAATTGAAGTAATCACTCAAATACAAGGCATTTGAAAAGAATGGAGATGATACCAGCCCCATTTGATTGTATTTTTAAAACCTTAGTTTATGATCGCTGCTCAATGACCATTGATTTTTATATAGTACATCCAAAAATTTGTTTCATGCATTTAATAAATCGCTGAAATGGAAGACATTCGAAAAAATAAAGCTTTTTTCTTGGCCCGAATCGCGTCATTGTAACAGGATTTTACTTCAATTTGTCCTGGATTTTCACAACGGAAATATGGACCGAAATTGCTCAATAAATTCAAGGTCGAAATATAATTGTTAGACCAGTATGAAAAATTTAAAAAAAAGAAACGCCTATAAAATTGTGTCATAGTGATGAACACATTTCTTCATAAAGCGCTGTTTTTATTGCGACACGGCTTTTTTTCTTGGTTTCAATGGCATGACTGTAACGATATTTTACTTTACTTTGTCCTGCAATTCCACAGCGGAAATGCACAAAATTTGTCAAGAAATTTCAGGGCGAAATATAATTGAAACACCAGTAAAGAAAAGGGTAAAGGAATGCCCATCAAATGTTGTCGTACTGATGAAAACATATTTCTTAATAAACAAAGCTCTTTTTGGTCCCATATCCATGGGATCATTGAAAAAAAATTGTACCTAATTTTCCCTTCAATTCCACAGCGGAAATGCAGAAAATACGTCAATAAATTCAAGGTCAACATATAATTGTTAGACCAGTACGGAAAAAAACATGAATGCCAATAAAATATTGTCATACTGATAAGCGCCAGCTCATCTCTATGGTGGCATGAATCACAGAGCTGTTCCATGCAAGACTCAAATTGCCATCAAGGGGATAACCTTGTTGCCAGAGGGCCTCTTCAGCATAACACACATATTTGGGCAAAGGATTTCTGCTTCAGTGGGAACAAACAAGAAGGGGCCCATTATTTCTTATTGTGTCGGTGAATGCAACAACAGCCATGCTGGCAAGAATGAGGAACCTTGAGCTCTAATAACTCACTCAGTCAGCACAAGAACAGAAAATTGAAGCATCTGGCAGCACACCCATAATCTCATTCGCCGCTGCGAAAAATGTTCCTCCCTCGTCCTATTTTGGCAATGACGCAGTTGTCGGATAACGGTTTCCAAATTGTTGTTGTTGTTTATTCAATCAAGGTCAGACAAGGTCATCAAATTCATCTGCTTTGCCATGTAGTGGAACTGCGATTATCTTCTGGACTGACCACAGAATTGATTTACAGGGAGTCTCTAAAACAACACCCTTTTATTTTTACAATTGTAGGCACAAAATCCCTCAAGGCTTCATTGAAAAATAATTTTATTTTTGTAAAAAAAAAGTAAATTTAACCTCATAAGGGTCATATTCAAAAACAATTTAATTCAGCAAGTTGATTTCTCCTTGAAGATTCTCTTTAATTTTTTTAATCAATTGTTAATTATCTATTAACAAGCTGAATACCTTGCCCTTATTGAATCATGATCACTGATTACTGGGCTTTAAGCATTTTTGTCAAAAGAAGGACCAAATTGCAAGTATTTGTATGCACTGTGATGCATCTTTTGCTCTTTTTAATGGGACAAAATGCCCTGCCGTAAAGCCACAATTTTATTTTAGTGTCAGTAATATGTAAATTAAAAATTTTTTTGCAACAAGATGTCACTGCTGTTATCTACTGTAGCCTGAGTGGTTAGATTGATATGCATGCTATTTTATTCAAGGAAAAATTTACGTATTTTCAAAAATTAATGACATCATATTTGGCCAAAGCTTTCAGCAAAGCATTAATCATCATTATTCATTAATGCCTCTAGAATATGAAAGGCGCATCATCATGAAGTGCAAATCCATGTATGAAGAGTAAGAGGCAATATTGCTGAGCACAGAGGGCCCATATTTTGTACATCAGCCTCAATCCAATTATGAGTCCTGATTGAGTACTTAGTCATTATTGGCAAGAGCACTTAAGTTCAATGAACTGAGTAGAATTGCAAGTGTATCTCTTAACGCCCCAGCATGTAGTCCAAAGGGACGAATTTCCTAGGAAATTTCAATCCAACTTGACTGCTTCTCTACAGAAACAATTTCCCATAGAGCTGAGATTGAAATGTTGTGGGATAAATCATTGGGGTTCCTATTCCCCCTGGGGAAAGCATCTGTGACACACAAGCATTAGCACTATGATTGCCTTTCTCTTCATCCCACATGGCCTGAGGCACTATAAGAAGGAAACCCCCACCCCCTCTCTCACTGTCATTCCCTCTGGAGTGTTGGTCTCTGAATGATAAGCGAATTAGTCCCTAGACACTAGGCAAAAGCCATTTCTTCAGCTACACCACAAATGGCAAGAAATAAACCAAAAATATTTGCGCTTAGGTTCATCCAAAGGCATTCATCACAATGAATACTACAGTGGGCCCTAGGATTTGGACGCATACATGGTCATGAACCTTGTCCCTAAGTCATCGGAATGTCCACATGTTGGACATCGTTTTCCCACTATAATGGGGATGTTTTTAATTTTTATCTGGTAGATCAGTAAATAAAAAAAATCCAATCCTCAAATTGAATAATTTTTTTCCCCCAAAGAAACATAAAATAAAAAGGAGAAGAAAACCACACGCAATCCAATCTTTTGGCATATAAGAAGCAAATCATCAAGCTCAATATTAAGAAGCAAATAAAGGTTGCCAAACTAGGGTTGAATTGCAGTTCAGTCAAATTGCAAAGCACTTCCTGAAATTCAAAAATATCAGCAGAAAATGCAAAAAAGTGGCCAAAGCAGGTAAAATTGTGGGGCAAAGGTTAAATTGAAAGTCAACCTCCCTGAAAATTAGACTGTTGAATTGCAGAAAGGTTTAATTTCAGGAGGTCAAATTGAAAGGTACCACCTGTAGAATTCTTACTATATCCTGAGCACATATGATGAAAAATTTTTAAAAAGGACCATAATTAGCCTTTTTTGCTCATGAAGTAGGGTAATTTTAAAATTTAAACAAATTTCAGTATCTTTAAATTTAAAAACAGCTCCATTTCTTCAAAAATATGACCATTTTTAAGAGTAAAATGTCTCAATTTTCCAATACGAAAAATCTTGAAAGTGTCCATATCTGGAGTAATTGATGTCTGTATGTTGCGGACAAATTTTTTCAACTCAAAGAGTCCCTAAGCAGAATTGTCAGTATGTTGGGGTTTCCCATTTTGAGGTCCCACTGCACTTTAAAAAATGTAATCACCCGTAAAGCTTCCCATGAAAAAGTCAGCTAAGTTGCGGAATGGACATACTTTATACATTGATGCGTCAGAAATCAAATCCTACCGAGATACAGTATCAAGTTTTTCATAAGGTACTGCATATTGTTTTTGAAACAAAGTTCATGCATTAAATTCACAGGTACAGTGTTACTCTAGCTAACAAACTTGATGTTTGTAGAGTTTCTGCACTGATTTAAAAACAGAGATCCAGCTTGCAATTGTTTTTGAGGGAAAACACTTGAAATTTTCCTAAAAAATAGACTGAAAAAATTGAATCCATTTTTTAGGGAAGCTAACAAACAATATATTTGATCAACATTATTATAATGGGACCAATTGCATCCTTCTGCCATCAAAATCACATTCTATGCACACACAAGCATGGCTTGAAACATTTAAGTCATATTTTTATCCAAGCATCCACTAATTGTTCCTGCTGTTTCTCATGAATGGTATTCATAATTTCATGCATGTTTGGGTTGTTTCTAAGTTTTACGCATCATACAAACAGCTACAATTATGATTAATTTTTTAAATTATAAAATTCTTTAAAATGTGACACAGATCTTTCAATTGTTATGCACATTTTCTATATTTAATTACAAGCTAAAATTAGGCTATTTCCAGATGAAAGCCCTGACGAGTGCTTGAGTAGCTGGAAGGAAGGTGAAATAAATCAAAGCTTTTCTGAATTTCAGTTGTTCTTGCTGAATGAAAAATCCCACCAATATAA